GAATCTGTTTTTAATGATTGGCTTATTTATATGTGTTAAAGTAAGTTAGCGGAGTATTATATATTACTAATTCATATTGAGAAGAGAGTTCGATATCACATACAACTATCAATAAATTCTTGTCCGAAATTGTACACTTGTTCTTCGAGATATTTCCTCCTAGAAATCCTGGACAATTTCTAACAATAAACGAGTGTTTATTGTCCTAAAAAGTCTTTACAATGTAAGGACATGTAGGTCCTTTCTGCCTACAGGCTGGGAGTATCTATGCCTCGGATAGTGTACTCCCTCCTTTGCCTCCCTCACGAATTCTTTCCAGCAGTAATACCCCCACAGGTCTTCATTCGAGTACACACTAAGAGCCGTTAGCCCGTCATTATCTCCCCTCTCCAGCCAACGAAGCGATGGCCATTTGCGGGTGTGTAGCTGCTGGGAAAAGTCTCAAAAACCACTGGGTGCGGGGCTCTCCTATGACGAAGAGACCGGCCAGCCGGGCGCAGCAGATTTGTGTATACCTAAGAGCGTCTCTCAACCTTCCTAGCCTCCTCCTTACTCCTCCCTGATTCATGCCGCAGGACAAACCGAAGGTCATGGAAAAATGTCAGAAAAGTCTTGGTCAAGAGTGACTGTCGCTGAAGAGCCTAGCCTAGCATCCATAGTCGTTACGGACCTGGGGTCTTCGAGTAACTCATGTATTTAAGATGCCTTCCTGGCTATACATAGCATCATAATTTGGTAGTTGGAAATGTCTTGTCTTGTTCATTGACGTGCTAGGTAAAGTGATTCCCGTTGCACTCCTGCTGGAGCTTAAGCACGGGTGGGGCCGGGCTGGATCAGGTTAATTACCATTAAGTACAAGTGCCTCGTCCCACCTAAATGACCGGACCACCTCAGACTTCACCCATGTGCTGAATCATGTCAAGCCCAACCGTCCAAAGAACCCGCTTTTGGCGCGCCGAAGCGCAAATTCGTCCTCAGCCTCAGCCACCACGCGCCCGAGCCCTTGACTCCTTCGCCATCTGTAACTTTTCCCTTCGATTCATTCGCAGCTTTGGCTCATCTCAGCATCTCCTCATCTCATCCAGGGGTCGTTTTCTTCACTGGAGGCCTCATCCAGTCGCCCACCAAGGCCTCCTTGGTTTGTAATACCTTTTAGTACCTTTTAGTACCTTCATACCGCATCCCTCTGTCCTTCAGCCGATCTCGTCATCCCAGAAACTTTGTAGAATGTCCACCCCTCCGGCCTTGCCCCGTCGCTGCCGTACCCCTAACCGTGGAGGTCTAAGACGCGACTGAGAGCTCAAGACCGTGGCACCGGTGCCCCAGCCTTTGTCGAACGCTCTGGTTAGTGTGCAGGCGAAATGTCGTACGTGCGAAATGTCATACGCATTTCGTCGGTGGCGATTCGTCGCAGGTCGAGTTGTTGGTGCCCTTGGCCGAGGTGAGGACGCATTTAAGGCCGGTATTTCGACCGTACTTTCACAGCGTCTGGCAGTTGCGGAGGGTCAGAAATCCTCTTGCTTCTTGGCTGGCGATTTGGCTTTTGGAGGTATGGGATTGCTTAGGTGGGCGGTGAGATGATTGTTGAGAGGGCCACGAGATGAGTTTGGCTAGGAGTGATTTTCCAGAGAAATAGAAAATAAAATGTTGAAGGTGTCGATTTTTGTAATACGAACATCAGACAGGTTATAGGCTGTCTGCGGTTCGTATCTGGGGTGTAGATGGTTGATTTCGTTGAGTTGTGCAGTCGTAAAATCTCTGCAAGTCGGATTTTCGCCCAAAAATGAGCCAACACCGCTCCTTCCGATCGCCAACTCGACAAAAACTCTCAAATTCACCATTTGTCGTGACTGAATCTCGGCTCCGGAAGAATATTTCACTCCTAGGTTCGTAGAGGACACCACTGACAGGTGTTCAGCCTTCGTCCTCCTAGTTGGAAATGTGTTGGAATGAAATAACAATTATTGTTAAACTTCAGTGCAGCAAATCAGTTGTTAGAGGGCAAGACTGAACACCTGTACGCGGTGTCCTCTACGAACCTGGGAGTGTTTTATACCCGACGGAGGAAGCAAAGCGTGGCGCACAAATCTGGGAGACAGTTCTTTGGAATGGACGTGAGAGGGATCAGGACAAGTTTACAAGATGATGCAAAGGAAGGATATAACTTCGAAGGGCATGAGATTCCGAATTTTGGCAAGGAGTTTTTCGAATTGAGCTTTGTGCGCACCAAGACTTCGCTTGCGAGAGTGTAGCTAACACTGTAAACACAAGCAAACAATGGAAGGTGTTGTGGTCCGCCTCCTGGTGATGTTCTCTGGTATGGTTTGAGTAGCCTGGGCACCTACTCCACTTGGGGAGGAGACGCCCAAGACCATATTTCGCGCGGAGAAAAGTTGAAAGATGATGGAGACATGTCTGGATAACTCGAGGTTTTTGAGACGTTCCCCTGGGTGAGTATTCACGGATAAGGGTTGACTTGGGGTGAAGAAAAAGCCGCAATAACTTCGCAGTGGTACTTGGAAATGAAATCCGAGGCATGAGTGCTCCTCTTGTAAATTGAGTCATCTTTTCTGTACTTTTCTTTGATATTGTGTCATAGCTAGATAGCTGCATACGCAATTAAAATCTGATGCAAAAAAAATCGATAGTTGTGTAGCAACTTATTTACTAAAGGATAGTCTTTAATTATCACAATACCTAGCGTCTCACGATGCTCACCTAGTATACTAATCTCTATCTTCACGTGATGGTAACGACTTGGTCCAAAACTACCTTTTGCAACATTCATTGTGTTAATATTTGGGGCGGATAGAGATGATCTGGTTGGTTTACATGGATGGCACTGTAGTGTAACTGCACTTCCCGAAGAAAATATGTGAGAACTATAGACAACAAGTAGGCAGATATGGGAAGTTTTCACCATAAAGGTATCCTCCCGAATAAGAATTATGGATTGTAAAAACCTGCATGGGCCCATGGGGCGCCAAATCGGGATAATGAAATCAAATTCAATTATATTGATAGAAATTTAATAAAATTACAATACAAATTTCCTATATTACATGCATCATTTTTTGTTCACAAGTGATCCAGCTCTGTAAAGCAAATATTTATTTCTTCTGCTCGTGTCATTTACTTGTGTCGTAGGGGGACTATTCTCAACACCTGTCAGTGGTGTCCCCTACGAACCCCCAGCTCTCACTGTAGAGACTGCAGAGTCGAGATTGAGTGACAAAGTCCTCACCACGACGAGGATTCCCAATCGCTTCCGCGGTCTGTATCGTCTTCATCTCTCAACACCTTCCCCTATCACCATTACCATGAAGCTTACCAAGATTAGATTAGATGGTAGGATCGGGGCCCTACTCATCACCAACCCACGATCATGGAGGAAAAGCCATCTGATGAGTTTCCGGAGCATACCCAGCACCCGATACGGAGATGGCAGATTGGATCAAGTCAGCCTCGACAGTTACAAAGAAGGGAGATATAGATGAATATGCGCTCCTCATGTGGTCCCGGTGTCTAGGCCTCGCCTGGCTGGGGCTGCAGGTTTTTTGAGACTTTTTCCCGCGCACGCAGTTTCCATTGCTACCATTTTTATTTTTTTTGGGTAGAAGATTCCGTGGAAAAGGTGGCGTAATTCCACGGGTAAACACTGAGCTGAATGGCTATTCATCAAGGGGAATATATCAATGATCTTTCAAGAAACATGAGAGGCAAGAAGCACTGCATAAGGTGTGGCCTGAGCCAGAGAGAAGCCCAATGTGCGAGATAGCCTATGACTTGAGTGGTACAATAAACACACCTCCCTCCCTCTCTCAATGAAATTACAAAGTACCTTGACTAAAGCAGGAGCTCAAAATATGCTACGTGTGAAATTCTGTGCCAGTCTGCCAAATTACTGTCTGTTCGGATGACTTTTGATAGATATTTTACATGAATGCCCCAACGAAGCTCTGGACTATAGAAGGATTCGAGGAAAAGTCTCCCAGCAACAATTTCTGTTATTTGTTAAGTGTCTTCACTGCATGTGAGATTATCTAAAGTGCCGAATTTCAAATCATCCCCAACGATAGTGTAGCTATCATATTTACAATGAGCCCACTATGCACATCATAATACACTATCATATTTAGGCGTGAAGCACTAAAGGTCTAGCATAATCTACAAAAACATTACAAAGCGCCCTCTCATCGCTTTCTGTCGGCAGGACAATTTCTGAGTGAAATTGGCACGTACTCAAGCGCGACCGTTATCTAGTGTTATCGTAAATTATAATTTAAGTAGACCAACAATTTCAGTTTGTACATTATGGGTGAAGTAGCTTGATGAATTTCTTTCTAGTTGTACTCGACACTAGTAACTGAAATTTGTTACAAAACATGGTATTGAACGTAAAATATGTCTAGCTTAGGACTGTAAATAGTATACTTGTTCAATGGTTCGTCACATACGAGATTAGGCGCAAGACTAGCATCAGAAGTTATTCATATATAAAATCACGAAGCTTCACTTATCACAACAGCAGTCTTGGGACCTGACATGGGTTTGAAACTCTGGTAGTGATTTACAGTTACAGTGAGAAAATGAATGATTCAAATTGGTCTTTTATTTGAAAGATGTATACCTGAAATTTACCGTTCTGCGTTGGTATGTCCGGCAGTAAGTGTGGAATGAGAAGTGCGGCGTTATACGTTGGCTACTTGGTATTCCGAGCACAAGGCGTGACTAAAACTCTCAGGAGACATTCAATGTTATGCCTTGCTACATTTTTGTCGTTTAATTGAAGTCGTCCGTTCTGGGGTTTCCAGGACTATTGCTTAATGACACGTTATATACGTGACAGTGGGTAATCACTAATTCGCTGGCAGAAAAGATAGATGGGAGACCGGATTTGAAGGAGCCTGAAGTGATAGGAAAATGGCATTTCAGGATCTAGTGTAGTAAACACATATGGTAGCGTAATATTTCTGTACCACTCCCCCTTTATGACATTTCTATGAGGTTGGGTTGGGGTTCATCTTGCAAAATGTTTAGTAGGTAGAAATTATACCGTTGAAGAGAGACTTTACCTTTCTCTTTCCACCAGTTAGAGTGACGTTAACGAAACGACGAGTGTAAGTGATTCTCTTCTTGGCACGGCCTTTTGGGGTCTTCTTTTTCTCCTGAGGCTCAACCTGTTCAGAAATCCTATTAGTACTCGCATATTTGAAGCTTTCTCTATCGGTCTACGGCCCCTGATTTGTGCCTCTGCTTTAAACATTCTTCGTCCTCATCATTCGTAAATTTATCGTACCTTTGGTGTCTGCGACTTGACTTTTCCGGCACGAGCCAAGGATCCGTGAACTTTTCCCATGATTTCGGTTTATTGATCGATAGTAGTTTCTGGAATGGAAAATGAAGTTGTTAGCCTTGGTTTATATAGTCTTTGATGTGTTTTTGAGCAAAGATCTGAGGAGAGTGTTTCGAAAGCGAATTTCTTGAAGTTGCGAAAAGATTAGAAACATACATGTCAGCTCGATAGGCGTCAGTTTTGATTGTGGTGGTGTCGTAGTTTGAGCATGGAGAGGGTGCTGTGCGCATCAATTGTGTGACTACTCGCTTAGTTGTTTGAGACTAGGGTTTCTAGGGCTGGCCTTGGCGCAAACTACAATTCTCTTTCGACCCTGAGTATGCCACAGAATATTTTGAACTTTGAATTTGATTTCATTATCCTGATTTGGCGCCCTTTTGGCCCATGCAGGTGTCTATCATACTTTCTAATTTACATGGGAGGAAACCTTTTGGTGAAAACGCCTCAAACTCTCCAGCTTAATTTCTATGTACTTTATAAAATATCCTTTAGGAAGCGCAGTTACACTATAGTGCCCTCAATAAAACCCAATCACATCAGCTTTATCGACGTCAAGAAAGGCATGACCTGCTCCTTTCCCTCAGCAGCATTTCGACCGCCTTTGTCATCTGGAATTGCTCTATCCAACCATGATTTAGGATCCACTGTGTTATCCTTTTGATATCTCCAGGATTGCTTAGCATAGCTTCGTAGGACCGATCTTTCGCTTGTCTCTAGATCTCTCCTCTTCCGTTTGACCAATCGAGGGCAGGACATAATCATGTGCTTGGGGTTCTGCGATTGGTAGCTACATGGACAACTCGGACTGTAGACTCCGGGTACTTTTCTTCTGTATAAATACGAGTTGAGCCCCATGTGCTCACTTCGAATCTGCGTCGCTAGACAACTTTGGACCCTTGTCAGGTTCAAATGGAGAAAATCCAGCGACTCCTAGAGACTTATTTTCTATTGGTCCCACTCAAGATGAATCACGAAGTGAAAGACTGGTAGAGCGGTAGCCCTGGGGATGTAAAGTAGATGGGCTTTGGAAGGAGGAATAGAGGTATCTATTAAAATATACGTACTCTGATTACTTGTATAACTTGATAAGAGACACTGCACAGCAAATGTAAGGCGTAGATGAATCAGGATTGATTTGATATCCTACAGTAGTGATATGAGTTGGGTCTTATAGAAGTCACCATCCACCAAACTGTGTTCCAATTATCTACTCTATTCTAAACGTGTCTCATTCCCTCGTATAACTGAGAAGTACTCTGTCAATGACTTGTGTCATCAAAGAATGACTACTCCTTCACTTGACAGTTCATCTCTACGACTCGTCGCTTACATTACTCGGTGATTAACAACTGACGCGTCTTTTGTCCAGACAGTGCACGGCTCGTAACTAAGCGAGTCGTGTAATCCGATACTGGAGGTTCCACGTTCTATCTACTAGAACACGATCTGTTTCTCTAACAGTATCTACAGCGAGCTCTATATTCATGGAGTGTGGGTGTTTCCTAAGTAATGCCAAGACTAGATTGTCTTTGATTTCACGTGTAGGCATAACGTGTTCAAGCACCTATACTACCTTGCTCATTACATGAATGGAGCCTTGAGGGCGTAATTCGATGCCACTATTTATGCAATAATCGAATCGAAACGATTACAACGTGGAAATATTTAATTTTTTAAAACAATTTCATCCGTAATCAGCCATTTAGCTATAACAAATGGTCTTTGCATTGTTAACATGAATGAATATTTATACGTGTCGGATATAAATCTAGCATTCATAGAGCATATCACGGAGAAGACCAGTCCTTCCCCGAAGACTGCAAACAACAACAGCTCAGTTCGGCATTTAGACCACTCATGTAGGGGGTGCATTCGCTAATACCATACTAGACTTTTGTGCTAGGGACTTGCACGCTTCCCTCAACCATTAGTATCCACCAAAGGGAAAACAGAAAAAGTCTTTGGCCACACTAATATGCCTCTGTCATCATGACTACTCCCTCAAGATATGAAGCCTCATTAGAGCAACGGTCCCCTGTAGACCAAGACCCGAGCTTTTTATAATATATATAATTCATTTTACCTGATTTGGCGCCTTGAGGCCCATGCAGGTTTTTATCGGAAGATATATACTTTAAGTAGGATGACTCAATTTGAAGTTTAGAACACTCACACTCAGATTTCATTTGCAGATACCACTCGAGGTTAACCCTTACGGCGTATAACCTCTTCCGTGCATACCCACCACAGGGAAAAGCGTGAAAAACCTGTGGCTATCCGAGTGTGCTTTCATCATCCCACAAGTACTATATCACCGCGAGAGAGTGTGATGTGTGGGACTGACTGGAATCGAACCAGCTTTCACCTGTCACGAATGGGGTAGGTGTTCAAGCTACCCAGTATCTACTTGGGAGAACGGCCCAGATGGTGTACCACTGCGCCATCCAACCATAGCTTTTTATAATGTAACTTAATTTTTCCCTCACTGATATACATAGCATCATAGCTTGGTAGTGGGAGTTGGTTGATTCTTGATGAGGCAAATTGCCTATTGCAATTGGAGTGACGCCTCTATCGGCAGTTGACGCGAGATGTTACAGTAAGATTGAGTAGAGGACTGCCATGAGAACGATTGGTCTGACATTGACGAGAAGTCGACGATTTTAGATGTACTTAAGGTTGCTTTCGACTTGGATTCGGATGTGATTCTTCTTGGATATCCCATATATGTAGAGCACACTGATCGATTACACCGGCGCCACTGGAAGGTGAAGAATACGTCTTTATCCGCTGCTTTGGGTACATGTTGGGTAACACTTTTGACATCGGAGACACTCATACTCTGGATTTCATTCGGAAATATTAATATGGGGTATGCTTGCTTACACAAACAGTCGACCCTCCTCCGTAAGTACCCACCAAAGGGACGTTTCAAAACCTTTCATTATCCAAGCATGCCTTCGTCATCCATGCATACCAGCGCCGCGAGATGTGGTTGTATTTTGCCGGATTTGAACCAGCGATCTAGTGTCAAGTGGGATGTCTGTTCAAGCTATCCAGACTTTACTTAGCTGACCACCCAACAAGATGAACCACCGTACCATCCAACCGTGGCGTTGTTTATAGTGTTGCCTGCACTCTCGCAATCGAAGTCGTGGACCGCACAATGCTCAACTTCAAAAACTCTTGTCCAAAAATCGGAACATAATCCCGTCCAAGATTGTATCCTTCGTTTATATTATCCTGCATATATATATCCAGACATCTCTCATGTCCATCAAGAATATCTCACTCCCAGATTAAGGCGCGACAATTTTTTTCCTCTGGCGGGTATTCATATTCTTGCTGGCGTGTATATAGAGGCAATCTGAGGTCAGGGACTGATGTGACGAGAGCTGTGGTGATTTAAGTAAGAATGTAATAGGCCGAACTTGCAGATTTCATGAGGCTCTGACTAGTTTCGACTTTGATTTTAATGAAATATTGGCTTAAGTGGGAGTCTGGGGTCATATTCTCGTGGGCCGACCTGTTCAGTACTGCGTAACTTGACTGAACTTGGCTGTGGGAGAATATTTCACTTCCAGGTTCGTAGCGTACATCGCGTACAAGTATTCAATCTGGCCCTTCAGGTCTTTTTAGTTTGTTATTAATGTTACATGTACAAAGGTCCTATCATAGCTCTATATATGTCCTAAATAACTTTCATTATTTTAGGATATTCATACCTTCTTTACTAAGCCTTCATATTCCATCACATGAGGTATAACAACAGCTCTCCACGAAGTCCCCATACTGTACAGATTTAGACTATAGAACACAGGCCGACCGTCGGAAATGAGAACGCGAGAGTTGACACGGCTTAGAAGAGACGGTAATTTAGTATAACTGACACTAAATTATCATTATTACTTACTTGAAGAGTTTTTGAGGGATCAGCAGGTAATTCGACGTAGAGGCAGAGAATTACTATGTAACGTCGTTGTTGCAGTCTTTTATAAGGAAGGAGGGCGTAACTTGATGGCTTTAGATAAGGCCAGTGAGTTCTTTCAACATTTTTAATTTAAAATCGATGGTCTTTCTCGAATGGGCCGCGACTATAAAATGAATGGCACATTTTTGTCTCATAATTTTGCATTCTTTATTGGCTTGTAAAGTCCCTAGTGACATTGAAGCGCGCAGACGCTTCAAGGCACACTGATCCTGACATGGTTTCCAAACTTCCAGAAACACGTTGCTGCTTATCCTCGCCGAAATCAATGGTGGCCCGTACCACGTAGAAGTTATTCGTTAAAACAGGCTTAATATAATCCAAGTCAAATTGGGATGCTATAGTTACCGGATCACTTGAGGATTTTAAAGCACATAATGAAATTATCTCATAGAGAATCGTAGCGGTTAGGCCCCCATGGGTGACTCCTGGCCATCCCGCTAGTGCAGGCCCAATCCAGATTACCTGGACGATTTCGCCCGTCTGAGAATGGCGAAACGTCTTCAGATAACCACCTAGCGCCCGTGATCCCGCGAGAGGTCCTGTGGTGGTGAGCCGATCGTTTAACTCCTCGCTCACCCAGAGCGGGTCAGAAGTTAAAGATTGAACAAGCGGTAGTGCCGCAGCTTTCTCGTGGAGATATTCTTTCATAAGGCAGTCCTGCGGTGTATTTGCTACCGGAGGTAGCGGTGGTGTAATGACAGCATTGACAAAGTTCCCGCCCAAAGAGCCAACCAATAGGCAGAGCGTGGCATATATGTAAGAGCGAAATGAGAGCTTCGGTTTCGTGGGGATATCTGAGGTACTATTTTTTGGTATAGGTTCGGGAAGAATTCGTATCGTAGATCCGGCTGCTTGAGGATGAATCTCAATAGGCTTACGTGCTTCATATAAAGAATCAAGGCTTGGTCCGGCTGAGTGAAATGGTTGTCGTAAAGCCCGTGTAGGTAAGCTTGGATTGCTGGGACATAAAGATCTATGGTGAATTAACAATTTAAGAGGACCAGAAGTCTTTAAGGTCCTGCGACGTGCAATTGAGAACATGATGATAGATGCATGTGTTGAATTTGTGTTAGCCTTGGAAAAGCGGACTTGTGGCTGCGGGAAAGGATAAATGGAACATACAAAGGCCAATTGCTGGCGCAGGACTGCTTTCACCTACCCAATGCCCTGGCGAGACTGTTCACAATTAGGAGGATGAAGGCTTAACACCTTTCAGTGATGTCATTTACGCAGCTCAAAATGAAACATTCTCCAAATGCCGAAATTCGATCACCGTAAAGGATGCATTCGACTAGATTTGTCGAATTGGCTGTCGGGACGGGTGGTGTTGGCAAGTTTTTGGTCGATAACCCAACCTGAATAGATTTCACGTTTACACGACCGAATGGCATCAATCTTTACACCCTAGATATGAACTACAGATAGAATTAAACCAGTCTGATATTCGTATAGAAGGAATGACAACCTTCCCGTCCTTAAATTTTGCTAGAAGATCTTTTCAATTTTAACTTACCACGCGAACCTCTGCAAATATATCTCACCACCTACCGAAGCTATCTATGATCTGAGAGTCATAGTCGCTATCTAAAATACGAGTAGAAATTTATCCCATTGCAACTGTCGTACGCTGGGATGGTACGGTCGAAGTACCGGCTTTATACTCGTGTAAACCTCGGCCAGGGGCACCAACAATTCTACCTGCGACGAAGCGCCACCCTAAAAATACGTACGAGATTTCACCGGCACACAAACTATAGTATTAGATAAAGACTGAGTCACAAATTCAACGATTCTGAGCTTTTCGATCCATATTCAGCCTTCGCGTTTGGGCTACGCCAGCGAAGTGGTAAGATCGGAGGTATGGTGAGTTTAAAATGTTTCTGACACGGATAAATTTTAAGAAGTATTACAGTGAAATTTTAGCAGTGGGATAAATGAGAAATTAAACTGAAGTAGCCTCGGTAGGTGACCAGAAGGTACCTCTAATGGAGAAAGAATACATCGGCATAAGATGAGGAGATGCCGGGAAGATTAAAGGCTCTATCAGAATAACTAGAAATAGACCAAGGTTGAGGAGAATACAAGAGCTCTGGCGCATGGTGGCTCAGTTTGAGGAGGAATTTGCGGTTCGGCACTTCAGGTTGAGTTCTCCAAACGACTGCATTTGACTTACCCAACAGGTTGGAGAAGTCAGAGGTGACCCAGTCATTAAGGTAGGTTTAGGTCTATGTATGTGTTACATGCTAAACTCTTCCTCATTTATAGCTGGAGATTGTTTTTCAATTTATTTTCTTGTCCTGTCTGAGTCTATGAATATATAGGACGTGCAAGTCCTCTCTGGCTACAGATCAAGGATACCTATACCAGTCATATATTCATTCCTATGCTTCCGATAAAGCTTCCTCAAATAGTACCACCCCCCACAAGTCCTCATTCGATCATACACTTAAAGGAGCCCTTTGCCCTTCATTATCTCCCCCCTCCAGCCAACGGAACGATGGCTGTTTGTGAGTGAATGTATAGGCCATCTGAGGTCAGAGGCTGATTTAGCGAGATGTGTGGTTATTTATATAAAGAAGCACTAGATCCAACTTGGAGATTTGATGAAGCTTTGGCCAGAATCAACCTTTTCGGGGACGTAATATTGATAAGGTTAAGAGAAGTAAATCTTTGGCTTCTAGGCCAGCTCATTCGGTATTGCGAAATCTGATTGAACTTCGCTAAGGGGGAATTTTTCAATCTCAGGTTCCCAGAGGACACTGCGTACAGGTGTTCAGTCTTTGCATCCTGAATCTAATATAGTTTAGTATAATGCTCGTCCCTTGCTTTCTTTCAGCTTCAGCAGCCTTTTGTCTCTCCATCTACAAGATTCTCGTGTAATCTATTCACTTCATCAACATCTAGATTCCATTAGCAAGTCAAATCAAATTGGCACACTATTCCGTATACATCTGCGTGCTTATGGGCGTGCAAGTGGGGGACATGCAACATGCATTAACGTGGAGCTTTACGATACATATGTCAAGGCAACTCTCGAACGTATGACAAACATTCGTATTAGCCTATACAACAGAGACCGTAGCCTATAGTGCAGGATAAAGTTTTCGTAAGCGGTAACGTAGCTTATCCCTAATATATCTCGATTTTTAATGATATATTTTAAGCTTGCGTACAAAAATTTATGGTTAGAGTTGGTGTTGGTGCTGGAAAAATGAAAATCTTATGCGGATGGGTGAGTTTCGTAAGTAAATTCTTAAGATTTTTAAATCTTGTAGAATTATAGCATCCCTGGTACCAAATTCGAAATCAGAATTTCATTATTTATTGGTATTCAGTCTTCTGTGATGCTATGAGTGAGAAATGAATCATCACTGCTACCCTGATTGGCACCTATTTCACTTCTTTTCAACTTGGGCTGACCCATTTGAAGGTGCCGTAGAAGTCTCTTCGCCTAGAACTTTGGAAGCCGCCATAAAGCTTTCATGCCATATCGGTGTTAGCTATTGATTGTAGTTCAAAAGTGCTTTTAGACGGCACATAGTTTAATAGAGGGACCAGGTTGACCTACAGGCCGCCATGCCAGGCTCCGAGCGATTTAATACTTTCAGCTTGCACACTGGTCATTCTCAAAAGATTTTCTAGATCAGCTAGATTGGCGGAGAGAGTGGCTAGTTTGGTATGGAGTTGTGACTATGGATTTATTTTTATCAGCTTATCTTCTCTATTCAATGGTGAATAAAGTGCCAAATCTCTGTGCGAAGATGGTGACCTGTGGGCAAAACGAACTAGTTGTCTCTGTTTAGCACCGTTCGACGGTAACGATGAGCGTGAAGCCATTAGGGATTGGGTCATTTGCGATCGATGTACTGAACTTCCTTGTGTCGGAAGTAAGCGCTGGAAGAGATAGCGATTGCCACGAAACTAGACTCAACTTTACAGGGTTGATTTAAAATTTAATTTTTGTGAGCGGATACATATTTAAGTATAGTCAGCTCTAGTTATGCAATCATGTAATATATAATGACTAGGAGTTATGCAGGCATCCAAAGTGATCCGTGCATGGATACACATGTGAAGGGCGGTTTTTATGGTTGAAACTAGGTAGAGAAACCTTAGTGATTTAGTTGTAGTACAAGATTGAGCCAATAACGTTTACAGTTTTCGATATATTTAAGCGAACATTAATTTCAAGCTTGATAGTTGTAAATAAATAATTTCCATGTTCGTTGAGAAATTCTGCACGCTCTACAATTGGAGAGCACTTTGATCACCGAGTGTCACATTCTAGAAGACTTGAAAGCTACAGTGGGCAGATTAAATAGTTTTCAAACGTAGATGACATTATTTAATTAAGAGCAACAAGCAAACTACCCTTCTAAGGTTTGAAGATTTACTAAAAATGCTTGCAACAAACTTGTGATGTTTATTCCAATGCTACATCGTTTGCCTTTATAACACTCTTCATGCTATACCATGGGGCAATTCTCAGCGTCTATCAGTGGTGTCCCTTGCAAACCTCCACTTCTCACTGTAGAGTCTACAGAGCCGAGATTGAGTAACAAAGTCCTCAGTTCGAAGAGGATTCCCAATCGCTTTCGCGGTTTGTATCGTCTTCATCTCTCAACACATTCCCCTATCACCACTATCATGAAGCTAACCACGATCAGATCAGATGAAAAGGTCGGAGCCTTACTCGTCACCCACCCTTGATCATGGAGGAGTAGCCATCCGATGAGTTTCCGGAGCGTACCCAGCACCCGATACGGAGATGGTGGATTGGATCAAGTCGGCCTCGACTGTTACAAAGAAGGGAGATATAGATGAATATGCGCTCCTCATGTGGTCCCGGTGTCTAGGCCTCGCCTGGCTGGGGCTGCAGGTTTTTTGAGACTTTTTCCCGCGCACGCAGTTTCCATTGCTACCATTTTTATTCTTTTTGGGTAGAAGATTCCGTGGAAAAGGTGGCGGAATTCCACGGGTAAACACTGAGCTGAATGGCTATTCATCAAGGGGAATATATCAATGATCTTTCAAGAAACATGAGAGGCAAGAAGCACTGCATAAGTTGTGGCCTGAGCCAGAGAGAAGCCCAATGTGCTAGATTGTCTATGACTAAAGTAGCACGATAAACCCAAACACACCGGAAGGCGAAGAATTCTTCTTTGGCTATTTTTGGTGCTGGTTTGCTTGGATAACTAATGGCATCGAATTCTCCTTTGATAGTGCTCATGGAAAAGCATTGATTTAAGTGTGAGCAGAAATGTTTCAATGAGTTATTCGCGGATGAAAGCCAGAGTTCGAGGGTCTCCGATGTCAAAAGCGTTACCCAACATGTACCCAAAGCAGCGGATAAAGACGTATTCTTCACCTTCCAGTGGCGCCGGTGTAATCGATCAGTGTGCTCTACATATATGGGATATCCAAGAAGAATCACATCCGAATCCAAGTCGAAAGCAACCTTAAGTACATCTAAAATCGTCGACTTCTCGTCAATGTCAGACCTATCGTTCTCATGGCAGTCCTCTACCCAATCTTACTGTAACATCTCGCGTCAACTGCCGATAGAGGCGTCACTCCAATTGCAATAGGCAATTTGCCTCATCAAGAATCAACCAACTCCCACTACCAAGCTATGATGCTATGTATACCAGTGAGGGAAAAATTAAGTTACATCATAAAAAGCTCGGGTCTTGGTCTACAGGGGACCGTTGCCCTAATAAGATAAACAGCTTGAGAGAGTACAGGCGGCTGAGATGTGGAGCGAGATGGGGATGAGACATCTGAAGACCATGCTGGGAGTGACGTGTCGATGAATTTTCAACTGTAGAACGTTTCTGGGCGCCAAGACCGAGATTTCGGCAAATTAGCCTGGAGGGCTTCAACTGTCGATGAGTCAACGCCACTCCCCAGAGCCCTGAACGGCACAAAAGAAGTTGGGCTAAACTACCATGCAGCAATCACGCTTTATCAAGACTTCCTTGAGATTTCAGCACGACCTCCAGGAAAGAGTGGGAAGGAGGCTAGAAAGGCAGAGTGAAATTTCTGAGTTACCCACAAGTCTCCGGCGGCCAGCGGGCCGGACGCCTTGGACGCTTCGAAAGGGTCACTACGTCTTTGGATTGATTCCTGATGTCGGTACTAAAAGAGTCCCGCACCCAGTGGCTTTTGCGATCTTTCACAGCTGCCAAACGCTCACAAATGGCCATCGTTTTGTAGGCTGGACAGGGGAGATAATGAAGGGCAAAGGGCTCCTTTATGTGTATGATCGAATGAGGACTTGTGAGGGGTGGTACTGTTTGAGAAAGCTTTATCGGAGGCATAGGAAGGAGTATATGACTGGTATAGGTATCCTTGATCTGCAGACAGAGAGGACTTGCACGTCCTACATATTATAGACTCAGACAGGACAACAAAATGAATTAATAATATAGCTTTGTAGCTCAAGTCAGTTAAAATGATAGGAAAAAAGTACTCTGGGCCAAAATTTAGCAGGAATAAGATCAATTAATCAATCTTGAATAAATACTGATTAAGAGGCATGGATTGGCGCTCAGGTTCTTACATGGTACAGCCGACATGTTTTCCATTATTGTCTTCCTAGCTCCCAATTTGTTGGAGTCTAGACCATCTTATGTCGGGAAACAAGTCACGTCCATGTCACCTACAAACACGAAAATCCAGAATGGTTTACAGGTTCATAGCTCCTCATAGAGACCTGTTTGTTCTATGTTATCACATACAAGCTTTACAACATTGTGATTATTAATATCATATATGCCGTTCATTGAAGGTGATTCCAGGTTACCTGGTTAATTATGCCATCTAAGACAGCTGCTATAGTATCTGGATTTAGTATTGTCCAATCATGATTCGACCGGCTGTTTATTGGAAAGGGGTGATTCGGAGCACTGGGATAGCACAACTGTTTAATTTTCCCCTCTCTTTATGCATACAATTGGGGACCGGTCTCAGATTTTTGCACAAGCCTTAGGCGCGGTACTAGTATATGTTACCCACTGTGAGAAGTGATTATGAACACATGAATTGTCGTATGTATCATAGGGATGTTGTGGTAGCCTTGACACATGCAACCTTTGAAGGTATCGAGATGGCGATACCGTTTACGACCTAGTACGAATAATTTTATCATCGTCACAAGGAAGTCCAATGTTACAAAATTACGAGAACAAAGGTAACCTCCAAAATATACCGCTTAGTTGACTGAAAAAGCTTAGTACTTGAGATCGACAGATTCATTATAACACAACTGTTAATGAAATAATGGGTACTCCCGTAAATTTTAATATCCACCCATGGCACATCAGATGTAAAAATCAGAGTCCAGTGGCAATGGAATAGTTCGTCTAGCATCAATGGCTTCCAGGGCATTTTTTTCAACTCGTGAGGACATAGCTCCGCTTGGTTACTATTCTCTCAACTATTGCGTCCAGAAATATAGACTTTGCCAGCTTCCGTCTGCCTCTTCAGTCTTGCTATCCCAAAGCACCAGACACAAGGTGGCCTATGTCGGTTGAAAGCGCAGCTTATTTTTTCAACAGTTTCAAGAAAAGCTGGGAAATGGCGCATGCGCTAAGGTTGAAAGTCCAGCCAGATCCATAGTCATCACCAGCCCTTACGTCTCCAACGACGCCCCCAGCCGCCCTTGGCAAAGCTGGGGGCCGTCTGCATTCGTTAATTAAAGTGGATCCCGTTTCGAGACACGCAATGTTTCTCCAACTAATATTGGGTCAGACTAGCGCTTATTCCAACTGTTCCCTACTTTTCGGCTCTACTACATCAGTGCTAATCATCAGAGGGGTCGCTCAGAAGAGCAAGCTTAGCCTCTTATGCAACAGCATCACTGAATGTTAACGGATCTGGACCAACACATCTCTACATTAAACCTTTTTTGGTGCCCAAACTGGTTAGTATCATGAACTTATAGTTCAGATGCATCAAAAACTATAGGGTGACCGCGTGCTAATTCGCGTTCAAAGATGAATCTAACCTTTGCTTGAGTAACAGTCTTGTTGTAAAAATCCAGCAGCAGAAGTTATGAATGACACTGAGTATTTTCCTTCTAAGTTGCTTAGAACGTAAATGCTTTGCGCAATATTGTGGCAAATATTCAAATTCTATGTAGTCCCAAAGAACCATCATGGGTAATATCGGGACATTTAGATGAGCTCCTTTTCCAGCCACTTGTCAGGATGAGAGACTGCAGGATAGAGGGAGTACCACTCATCCCATGCTACAGCCTTGTGATCACGATGGCAACACGACCAGAGAAAACGCTTCAGGTCCTGCAAGCTTTCGGCGTCTTCGAGAGGCGCTTGCTTCCAGAAGCTAAATCCTCATGCTCCAACCAGGCCTGGGTCTACCGGAAGGTCAAAAGAAAGGTCGAGTAATGAATGACCCTTATTGGAAAGACAAATACTGCTAGGGACCTCCAGAGAAACCTGGGTGCTCGTTAATTGTTTCGGCTCTATTGCAATGAATCTTTTTACGGGCCAAGACCCTGGCCTAGTGCCTGGGGAATAGGAATCCTGGAATTTTCTTTACTTCCAATGCTTCAGTCGTATCATGTGAAAGTCTATTGCTTGCGATCGAAAACGGCTTCGCTAGCGGAAGCTAAACTGAGCGTAGAAATCAGAGCGGGAGGCCAGCCTGTTCTGACAAACGGACGTGACCTGGTGGGGTGGGGAGTAACGGTTAGTTGTGCAAACTGAGTCTGTCCACCGCAATTGGTAGAGATCCACTGTTTATAACTGGCGAGGCTCGTACCCAATATGCGCGCTGTCGACCTTGAAGATTGGTGAAGTTGGGTGTTGATGTTTGCCAGCTAATGCCCACGTCATTCAAGTATTCCTTCGCGTTTACGTGTGAGCAAGTGGCCGCCACAGAAGTCCCATAACTCTTGCGGCACCTTTCGTGTGCTCGCAATTTACTGGCTAGATTAGTGCTTCCATTCACTTACACACTACGGAAAAAGTACTCCCTCGTCTTTGCAATCTGTGGGTTGAGACCACAGCACTCCCAATCCCCCGTAGATTGGTCTGTTCGGAATGTTGGATATGAGTGAATCATTGTAAGTGACGCACCCCTACTCCCTTCACCGTAGCGCCTCTCATAACCTACCCTTATTTCTGGTCAGAACGAATCGCTGACAACAAATCTCTCAGTCATCGAAGAACTAAATCATCTGCTCTTTCTTTGCTGCGACGAAAGGAAGGAAAGGATGAGGAGGAGACTTGTGAAGAGAGCCCCCAAAAGTTGACATTATCAGCAGTCCAGACGCCTGTCACCATGCCTGAATCCGCTATTCGAATTCAAAGTCATAAGCCCTTAAACGGCGTCAGTAGTCCTCCGCCAACTATCAACCCCTCACTTTTACATCAAAAAGCTATGGCTCAAACATCGCTACCGCATGATAAGGTTATCTCGCTTGAGCAAACAGTTAAGAAATTCCGCATTTTTGAAGCTCTACGCAGCGGCGATACGGCTGCAATCTCCAAGGCAATTAGAGAGGTTGGTGAGATTCAACAAAGTACACCAATTACAGCTAGCCCAGTCCTTACGTCGGTGCTAGAAGACACAACTATTCTACATTTAGCTATCCAGTGTGCTGAACTGCCTGTCATAGAATATATATTGTCTGATGGAGCTGGAGTTATAGATGTAAATGCACAAGACAAAGATGGAAATACACCGCTCCATATTGCCGCATCACAGGCGAGAGGTCCGATTGTGCGACTGTTACTGGAGCAGCCTGATATAAATGACTCTATCGCAAACTATCAAGGTAAACTTCCTCTCGATCTAGCACGGACTCCCAACATATTCCAACAACTTCAACTTTCAAGGTCTTTGTTTGTAGAGGGCAAAATTCGCCGTGTACAAGAATTAGTACGACAGGGTGACCTTAAGACATTAAGCAGTGTCCTGGAAGAACCTAGAGTTCGAATGTTATTAAATATTAACGGGGGGGAATTCGCATCTGATGTCCATACGGTTGAATCAGGTGGTACATTGCTACATGAGGCAGCACGCAAGAAAGATACTGCTCTTATCGAAGTACTTTTTCAACATGGGGCAGACCCATTCCGTCGTGATCGAAAAGGGAGGTTGCCACAAGATGTTACCAAAGACGATGTCACTCGAGCTATACTCAAAAGATCTCCGGCTGCGATATCAGCTCAAAGAGGAATACAAGAAAAGGCAGTTCTTGGCAGCGCATCTCAGCAAGGTGCAATTAACATATCCCCTATCGAAATAGTAGCTGGTAAAGAAGGGCGAGAGATGAAAGGCTACCTGAAAAAGTGGACAAATTACCGAAAAGGATATCAATTGCGCTGGTTTGTGCTTGAAGATGGGGTCCTAAGCTACTACAAGAATCAAGATGATACTGAGTCTGCTTGCCGAGGTGCAATAAATATGAAGATTGCTAAATTACACATGGATCCTACTGAGAAGACAAAATTTGATATTCTCGGCAAGTCATCAGTAAAGTATAACCTTCGAGCAAATCATGAGGTCGAAGCAAAGAGATGGTTCTGGGCGTTGAATAACTCGATTCAGTGGATGAAAGATCAAGCAAAAGAAGACGATCGGATGAGACAGAAGAATACCGAGCTGCTCAAGACTGCTAAATTAGACCACTCGGGATCTAATTCGATCAGAGAATTCCATGTCGATTTAGCATGTGAGACTGCTAGCATAATGGATATACGACGTGGAAGTATTCAGGGCAACCTCTTGATTCCTAACAATTCTATGGGCACAAGGATTTCAATGATCAGCGGAAATACGACACACGAAGATGAAACTCCTGCATCTGTTTCATATGAACAAAGCTTTGTCAGCGATGGTGCGAGAGTATCCGAAAACCTTGACGCTTCGCGTGTAGGTAACGTCGACGATGATGATGATGATGACGACGCCTACAGCGATCGAGAAATTTCCAACTCGAAGGATGCGTTTGACATCACAGCACAATCTGCAAAGTTACAGCTCGAAGTGATGAGTCAGGTCAACAAAGCCCTACAGGCTGAGCAACTTAAGACACCATCTCTCACAGTCTCGAGTCCTCTTGTCCTATCTGCTGCTCAAACCCTTGATTCATCAATTCAGAACCTTGAAGTACTTATAAGAGACTTATCAAAAATATCAAAAGACCAGAACAATTACTGGCAATATCGAGTTGATCGTGAGTCTGAGATGAGACGTATGTGGGAAGAGAACATGGCGACTATCGCCCACGAGCAAGAAGTACTAGAGGCTAGGTATGGCGAGGCCGAGGAAAAACGGAAGCTGACTAAGCGAGCTCTACGTGAGGTCATGGAAGTTAGTTCTTCCTCAGAGGTCACCGGAAAAACTCACCAAAGTCCCGAACCATCAAAGACCTTGAAGCAAGTACTATCCAGTGACGAAATAAAAGCATTCAAGCGCAGTGATACATCAAAGAGCTTGTCACGAACAAAGTCAATACTGGCAGAAGTCGCGGCATTATCCGATCCCGAATCTGACGAAGAATTTTTTGATGCAGTAGATGCCGGCGAGGTTGAAGTGGCACCCAAATTAATGCCACCTCCAAGCCCAGGTGTTCTTGATACTGACAAGAAGGTAATATTACCCGCTATCAATCATGGTATTGATATCTCGCCTTCGTTCAAAGGTTATCAAGATGGTATTAGAAAAAAGCTTAAGATGGAAACGGACAATCGACCAAAAATCTCTTTATGGGTAGGCTTCATTATTCTAGTACTGATTAATACTAATAAATTTACAGGGCATCCTCAAATCCATGATCGGAAAAGATATGACAAAAATGACACTGCCCGTTTCTTTCAACGAGCCAACATCTTTATTACAACGATGCGCGGAAGATATGGAGTATTCAGACCTTCTTGATGTCGCTGCAGACAGAAGCGATGCGACAGAGCGTATGGTTTACGTTGCAGCGTTTGCTGCCAGTGAATATGCATCAACCGTAGGACGTGTTGCTAAGCCTTTTAATCCTCTTCTCGGGGAGACTTTTGAGTATGTTAGACCGGATAAGAACTACCGATTCTTCATAGAGCAAGTCAGTCATCATCCACCCATAGGTGCTGCATGGGCTGAGTCGCCTCGTTGGGTCTACTGGGGCGAATCAGCTGTCAAATCCAAGTTTTACGGTAAATCCTTTGATATCAATCCACTTGGAACCTGGTTCTTGAGTCTCAGGATAAACGGTGGTAAAGAAGAGCTTTATACATGGAAAAAAGTGACCACATCAGTGATTGGCATTATTACCGGATCGCCGATGGTAGAAAACTACGGTCCCATGGAAGTCAAGAACTGGAATACTGGCGAGACATGCATGATTGATTTTAAGAGCCGTGGGTGGAAAGTATCGAGTGCCTACCATCTGAGTGGTAGAGTAAATGATGCAAATGGTCAAACTCGGTATAGTATCGGTGGTCGTTGGAACAATAAAATATATGCTCGGCTCACACCCGGGTACGAAGCAACGGTCGAGGAGCCAGAAAGTACTACATCTGATCCCAATCAAGCGTTCCTTGTGTGGGAAGCCAATCCCCGTCCTATGAATATCCCGTTCAACCTCACTCCTTTTGTTGTTACCCTAAATGATGATAACCCTAAATTACTTTCTTGGCTACCACCAACTGATTCAAGACTTCGACCTGATCAACGCGCAATGGAAGATGGTCGTTATGACGATGCTGCTGCGGAGAAAACCCGCGTTGAAGAAAGACAAAGAGCCAAACGACGGGAGCGAGAAGAGAGTGGCGAAGAATATTCTCCAAATTGGTTTTCAAAAGCAACGTGTGCGATAACAGGCGAATCCTATTGGAAATTTAATAACAAATACTGGGATGAGAGAGAACTGGCACCCGAAGGTAAGGCTTGGACGGGTTGTGATCGAATTTTTGGTCTTGACGAATGATCAACATCAATTGATACTATGAACACTATAGCTTGGTACAATTGAATATCTTTTTCGCAGAAGTAAGTAAAAGATGGTTTAAAAAACTTTGGATGACTCAGAGGGAAGGGGACTAGTTCTAAATTATTGGCGTCACAACAAATTTCAAGCTGAATTGATAACGAGCATAGCTCTAAACCAACTTTTTAACAATGGCATTATGACGGGATCACTAGGATGGTTAATATTTAGACTGTGTTACGGAGAATGTAACATGTAAGTGGGCTTAACGAATGTTTATCGTTATAAAGCGTCGAAATTAAGATTGTAGATGATTAGGGTGCTTCGATGATGATGATGATGATGTATATATCGATTAGCACCTTTGTAGACATTACACACGTTGATAGCTTGACCAAAGACATCAGTCTTGTTCAAATCCTTCAATTGTCTAACTTAATGACAATTTGGGGACTTACGTAGTGACTACAAGCTGTGTAGGCGTAAGTTTGTTGCGCGGGTCAAGTGCACAAAGCCATGTAGGACGGGCACCGAAAGTTACCGGATCACAAGCTCCAATCTGCCTAGTAAGATGTTAAAGTTTCTCTGAGGACTCCCAAGGGGTTTTCAGTTTTTTAATTGGCAGATATATGTGTTTGAGAGAAATATGGCAGTCTTAAGAACAATCTCGGGCGATCTTAGTCGATTCACCCAAGGCATAAATTTGGTCTTGTTATTCTGTACCTTTCTTTTTAGCAACATGTTAACAGCTACAAACTAGCCTGCTCTACCTCTTGCCCTTTTCTGGATTCCATGGGCCAGTAATTCTGAGCCTCATTATCATGGGCTTGCCGATTGCGTACAGTAATCATCCAGCTATCTCGACATGCTGATCAGCCGGTCCTCTCCGTAATTCTGATGGGTTAGATGGAGACGAACAAGTGAGATCAGGCCAACTAGCATGGATAGGGCACTCAGTCTGCCACAGATTTCAAACCAACATGAAATCACGGCAGAGTTGACACTCTGAAAAGGCCTCAGTTGGCACACCCAAACATGGAACCCCCCAAAGTCTTGGCCGCCACGCTCCTGAATCCATGACATTGTCATTACCTCTCATTGCCTGCCTGCATGTTCCAGAATTACCATGCCCTAGAATTCCCTCATTCTACTCGTGGCTTGCACTCGTTAGTCAGGGTACAAACCCAACCGCCAAAGCCTGCCTCTTAGACCCCTCTTCCCTGCCTTCCATTATATCTACCGCCTCTGGTTCAATTGAGGTTTATGTGGACACGGTGGGCGTTGCTCGGCAATGATATCATGGCAGGGAGATGTCTAGGCCCTAGTTCTTTGGTTAAAATCTAATCGCTTAGTACGGGGATTTAGTTTCATGTCCTATGAAGTCTATGACTATGGAAGGACGTGTAGGTCCTCTTAGCCTACAGGCCGGGAGTATCTTTGCCTCGAGTAATGTACTCCCTTCTGTGCCTCCTTCACGACTTCTTTCCAGCAGTAATACCCAAACAGATCTTCATTCGAGTACCACCGACAGGAGTCCTTTGCCATTCCTATGACGAAGAGACCGGCCAGCCGGGCGCAGCAGATCTGTGTATACCTAAGAGTGTCTCTCAACCTTCCTAGCCTCCTCCTTACTCCTCCCTGATTCATGCCGCAGGACAAACCGAAGGTCATGGAAAAATGTCAGAAACGTCTTGGCCAAGAGTGACTGCCGCTGAAGAGCCTAGCCTAGCATCCATAGTCGTTACGGACGTGGGGTCGTCGAGTAACTCATGTATGTGAGACGCCCTCCTGGCTAGTATTTTCGGAAGTTAAGATTAGAAGAGACGATATTGTAGACGAGTCGAAATCTGCTTTCCTTGAGGGCGGAAGAGTCTTTAACTTTGGTTTCGTGGGCTTTTCGTTTGCGCGCCGGTGGGTAGCACCTGTTTTAATGTAACGAGGACTTCTCTGACTATCGTGGTAGCATTTGGTACCGCACCATCTTTCCTCCTTCCCAGCATTATTATCGTCGTCTTGGTCGTATTATAATAATAATTATTCATTATCCTGATTTGGCGCCTTGACGCCCATGCAGGTTTTATGGGAAGATATGTACTTCAAGTAGGATGACTCAATTTGACGTTTAGAACACTCACACTCAGATTTCATTTGCAGATACCACTCGAGGTTAACCCTTATGGCGTATAGCCTCTTCCGTGCATACCCACCACAGGGAAAAGCGTGAAAAACCTGTGGCTATCCGAGTGTGCTTTCATCATCCCACAAGTACTATATCACCGCGAGAGAGAGAGTGGTGTGTGGGTCTGACTGGATTCGAATCAGCTTTCTCCTGTCTCGAATGGGTTAGGTGTTCAAGCTGCCCAGTATCTACTTGGGAGAACGGCCTGGATGGTGTACCACTGCACTATCCAACCCGTCTTGGTCGTATTGTTAGTTATCAGAAGCGTATCTTTGACGGAGGGGGAGATAACTCAGCTCAAAGTTGAAAAGGTGTTACTCAATCTCGGCTTCACAGACTCCACAGACTCTGCAGTGAGAGCTGGAGGTTCGTAGGGGACACCACCAGCACGGGTAGAGAATAGTCCCCAATTGCCTTCCAGCGGGGCCGGTGTAATGGCTCAATATGCTCTGCTTATGTAGCATATCCAAGGAGAATCACATCCGAATCCAAGTCGAAAGCAAACTCAAGCTCATCTCCCATTTGACGACTTCTCAATCATGCAGCACTTCCCATTCTCCTCCAAGTCCTCAAGCTCTTATGTAACCATACATCATCTCGTCTCAACGACCAATAAAGGCGTCACTCCAATGCAAACAGGAGCTGGCCTCGTTCATTACCGGCCATCACCAACTACAAATTTACGACGCTACATATACCCGCAAGGAGGAATCAAGACGAAATATCCAAAGGCTGGGTCCGGGCTTAAGGGAGACTATTGCTCTAATAGGATAAACAGCTTGAGTGTCATGGCGAGAAATTCTTGAACCAGAGTCTAAGCTGAAGGCCCGAGGATAAAGCTCACGGAACAGGTTTTCGCCTCACCCTCAACACTTGCACTCATATAGTGAGACCAGATAATGCGCCAACTAGAATTGGTATGATTGAGGTCACAGTTTGAGTTATGCTGGGAAATTACAACAGTCTTAGTTGAATTGTGTTAGATCTTTATCTGTACTTAAGGAAGCTGGAGCGAGATGGGGATGAGACATCTGAAGCCCATGCTGGGAGTGACGTTTCGATGAATTTTCAACTGTAGAACGTTTCTGGGCGCCAAGACCGAGATTTCGGCAAATTAGCCTGGAGGGCTTCAACTGTCGATGAGTCAACGCCACTCCCCAGAGCCCTGAACGGCACAAAAGAAGTTGGGCTAAACTACCATGCAGCAATCACGCTTTATCAAGACTTCCTTGAGATTTCAGCACGACCTCCAGGAAAGAGTGGGAAGGAGGCTAGAAAGGCAGAGTGAAATTTCTGAGTTACCCACAAGTCTCCGGCGGCCAGCGGGCCGGACGCCTTGGACGCTTCAAAAGGGTCACTACGTCTTTGGATTGATTCCTGCTGTCGGTACTAAAAGAGTCCCGCACCCAGTGGCTTTTGCGATCTTTCACAGCTGCCATACGCTCACAAACGGCCATCGTTTTGTTGGCTGGACAGGGGAGATGATGAAGGGCAAAGGGCTCCTTTATGTGTATGATCGAATGAGGACTTGTGAGGGGTGGTACTGTTTGAGAAAGCTTTATCGGAGGCATAGGAAGGAGTATATGACTGGTATAGGTATCCTTGGCTTGTAGGCAGAGAGGACCTTCATTTTCTATTTGGGTTTAAACTAGGAAAAGATAATAGTTAAATAATAATAATGGGCCAGGACCATAACAAACATGTTCAAGTCATGTTAAATTTAGACCATTCACCTCGTGTCTAGAGTTTTTTTTTTAAATCATTAAGTTTATGCAGCCTATCTAGCTATGACACTGATTACATTTTGATATACATTGACATATACCCCCATTTCCCCTTGCTTTAAATACATGTAAATTTTTTTAAATATCTTTAATAGAGCATGTTGTTGGTTTCAAGATTCATTTAATTTCTATCCTCCTCATCTTTGCCCCCATAGAAACAGCCAGTTGAGGAGAGATATCTTAATAGTGAAGTTTTCCCCATATTTGTGTTGAATAATATCTTAATTAAGATTGGTTTCAAGTCTTTAAAGTGTTCTTGTCTCTGCCTTTTAAATTTTGAGCAGTGTAAAATTAGATGACTTGTTGTCTGAATACTATTTGAGCAAAAGTTGCACAAATCTGTCTCACTTTTTCCTATCTTTTTCAAATAGGTCAGGTTGTTTCCTATTCCAGTTCTTACCTGAATATATGATGACTGAGCCTTTCGGCTGAATTTAGTAAAGTTAAATGGTTTGAACTTGAGATCTGGGATAGAACACTTCATATGAGCTCTGTAGAACTTGTCTAGCCCCTTTGATCTCCTACCATTATCTTCAAGCTTTTGTTGTGTAGCCCAGTCTTTAGACCAGGCATTTTTGATAGATGTGTGCACTTCTTGTTTAAGGAAACTATAAGAGGTATATTGATAATGCTTAGTTGCATGCTGACTTGAAGCTCTCTTTGCAAGAGTGTCAGCCAGCATATTTCCTTCAATTTCCATATGTCCTGGACACCATGTAAGTATGATATTATTACCAATTCCATTTTTCCGGATTTGGTGAGAGAATAAATTGGAGCCATTTTGTATCCTTAAAAGTGCTGCTTGGCTGTCAGAAAAGATATATATTGTTGTTGAATTTGACAATTTCTTAGCATGTCTGATAGCTTTGAGTATGCTGAAGGATTCTGCATCTATTATCCCCATCTCATGGCCAAGATTGGCCAAGATTGGCCGAGAAACACTTGATGGGTCCGGCATTGGGAGGATAGATCACGTATCCAATGCTGCTTCCCTTTCCTTCAGTTAGTGACCCATCAGTATAAATCTTTGTTGCTGA